AGTCTTGTGGATCCAGTGGCGGTGTAAGCATCTCTGTGCTGGCGTGGGTCTCCACATGGCTCCTCCAGCTCCAGGGCTCTGACTCTTATCAGCTTAGCTCCATGTGTCTTGTCCCCAGGAATGTGTTGCAGGGAGTGAGTCTCAAGCGAGCTATTCATCTCCTTAGCACCTCCGAATGAGGTCATCAAGCTACAACTTGATTGACAGGCTAAACTCCACCCCTTCGCTCTTAATAGTCTCAATGTTGACCACAGATCATGGAACTGTCACCGTCTTGTTTTCTTTATTTGGATGACTCTCCTGAAGGGTCGGGACCCTTGATTCATACCTCCAGCACCTAAAGCAGTGCTGGTCTGGACCCGTATAGGAACTTAATAAATGATCTTACATTCTAGATCGGGAAATTGGATCTGTTTCTGTCCCTACCTTTAAGGAGCTCCTTCTTGGAGATGAGACATCTTTATCTTTCACTAGTTAATCGATGTCCGTATTCATCCATATTAAATAAACAGTTGAGCACTCAGCTGCTAACTGCTAGGTGGGTGGTTTGAATCCACCCATCGTCATCACGGGTGGCAGGCCCGCCACTCTGCTTCTGTGAAGATGTAGTCTGGAAAGTCCTATGGGACAGCTGCGCTCTGTCACACGGGGTCCTTGTGAGTTGGGCGTAGGACTCAACGGCAGCAACTCCTCCCTGTATGGCAGCTGGATCCAGGGCCGGGGACATAGCCGTGACCAAAAGCATTAGCTCTCATGACACACGAAACTTCAGTCCCAAAGTTATGACTCTCGGACTTTTGGGAAACAACCTGGAGGGTTTGCAAGAACAGAGAGCTGGGCCCCATCGGTCTAAGGTGGACATGAGAGGTTGCCTTTTTAATATGTCTCCAAGCGGTGATGCTGCTGCTGCTGGTCCAGGTACCGCAGCTCAAAACCCACTGATCTGCAGGGCTGTGAGTTGACCTGTGATCCAAATGGCCAGCAACTGGAAACCACCCAGCCACTCCAAGGAGAGAGTGCAGCTTTCTACTCCTGCATAGTCACTGTCTCAGAAACCCATGGCGGCAGTTCTACCCTGTCTTATAGGGTCCTAGGGGGTCAAATTCAACTCACTGGCAGTGAGTTTGATTTGCAAGGAAAGCTACAACACCATATCACAAGGGGCAGGGTTACTCAGCTTTCTGTGGGAAGTGGGCACGAAAGTGCCAACTCTCCAGTGCCTGCTGAAGAAGGAGAAGCTAGGGCACTAGGATGATGGCCTGTGCCCAGGGTGCTGGCACCCCACACTCTCCTCTCATCAAGGCCAGGGAGGCCCTCCACCAGCGGTTCTCAACCTGTGGGATGTGACCCCTTTGGGGGTCAAACGACTCTTTCACAGGGGTCACCTGATTCAATAACAGTAGCAAAATGACTGATGAAATAGCAACAAAAATAATTTTATG